GGGGGGGGGGGGGGGGGGGGGGGGGGGGGGGGGGGGGGGGGGGGGGGGGGGGGGGGTGAAGGGAGGTAATCGAGGGGGCAAGTGTTGGATGAGGTGCGTTGGGTTAGGAGAAGTGTTGCTCTCTCTTGTCGTGTCCTTCACACCGACTTGTTGATGGGCTTGTGACGAGATAGGAGGGAGGGAGGGAGTGCGTGGCGTGAGGGTGATATTGGGAACACGATTTCCAACCGATGGAGCTTGTTTCACTTGTATCCGGCTTTCTTGCTTTCGTTTGCTCTTCTCTCCTTCATATCAATCAGACACAGAATTGCGATCAACGGCAATGCAGTAAGACAGGTTTTCACATGTATGTGCGTGCATGTTGTGCTTTCTCTGTGTATATGCCTGTCGAAGAGAGAGAGAGAGTGTGTGTGTGAGAGAGAGAGAGAGAGAGAGAGAGAGAGAGAGAGAGAGAGAGAGAGAGAGAGAAGAGGTTAGGAAGGAAAGGAGTCCAAGACGGTTCTCAAACTGCAAAAGAACAGGAAGGAGATCGATGTGGGCTTGTGTACCGGCATTATTACTATCCTTTCACAGAGTTATTTCGAAGCTGCTGTTAGGGCGTACGTGCATTGCCCGTCGTTTTGTGCTCGCGAGAGCTTCCTTTTCTCTCGTATATATCAGCTCGACCGTTCATTTATCGCGCGGGGAGGAGAAGGTCTCAAGGGAGAAATAACCCGTCTGAATCCGCATCCGCATATCCCTTTGGCCAATTGCGGTGATGATCCGGACCGCGAAGGCACACAGAACGGGGGTGTGTGTGTGTGGCGAGAGAGAGAGAGAGAGAGAGAGAGAGAGAGAGAGAGAGGTTCATTTCATGCACAGTATTACGGATCCTTGGTTTCGCTTTTGAGATGGGCTTTTGTCAAGGTTGGCGATGGCCATACTGTGCAGAAGCCAGCTTGATCAGTGTGCTGCGCTGTCGAGAACCTAGCTTGGTTGATTATTGTTCATTGTGTGCTCCTCGCGACGTCAATGCGGCCCATATCCTCCCCCCCCCTCCCCCTCTCCCCTCGCCTCCGCCCTTCTCTCTCTACGTGGGGAGAAATGGCCACACGATCAGTGGTGGAGGTGGTGGCCATTGTGCATACCTAGCTGTTACCCTGCTGGCTTGTAATTCAGCCTGAATTGTATTACTCTTGGATGGATGTAGAGCTCAGTTCTGCTCGAATTTCGCGACAGCTCCTCAGGGCTGTATTACTGTATTAGTCTTGTCCTCTTGTCCGCGATGCTGCATCCCCTCTTGTCTCTGAACGCCTTTCTGTATTCCTTCGTCGGAATAGCGCTCAACATCGGTACGCGTTTTGTCGTGGTGTTGTGTGTGCACCTTGAAATAGCGCGGAGGACAGGAGGGGTTTGATTGGTTATTACAGTTTTTTTTTTTTTTTTTTTTAATTATTACAGTATGTTATAGTTAGTATTTACATTTGTTTCGCTTCCGCTGCGCGGGCGTGTGGCGCAATTGTCCACACCCAGGCACGCCGTCTATCGTCTCTCTCTCGAAATGTCCTCTTTGCTCTTCTCGTCCTCTTCAGATCGTGTGTGAATTGAGTGGTGATCGGCGGCGTCGTGGCAAGCCGACGGCTTTGGCATCTCGTCAGTGTTTACAGTACTTGCAGTTCTCTTGATCTTGTCTCTGCTGCTTCGCGCTTGCGCCGTCTGCAGACAGCTACTCGTCTAACGCACAAGAAACATGATTTCGTGCGCACTTTGACATACTCGTCGGAAGGTGCGGGGCAAGGCGGAGGGGGCGCGGAGGGAGAGAGGCGGATTTGCTGTCCCAGCTGGGCAGCTGAGCCGCCGATATTTTTTAGCACTCTCCGACGCAATACCTGCTGTTTGCGCTTTGGTGACCTTACCTGTGATTCTTCCCTTCTCCGCCTCCCGGAAGAGAGCGTAAGGGCGCGGAGAAAGACCTGGCCGGGCGTAATCGAAGATGACGAGGCGGGGGCTGGAACGGTGAAGTGCGCTATGGCATGCCAATCATGCCGCCGATGTAGCGCGCATCGTGATGGGGTCGCGGGAGGAACGTGATTGATGTCTGATGAGACGGCGGGAACGGTAAAGTGCTGTACCGCGTTAATCATGCCGTTGTGGTGCGCGTCGTGATGGCGTCGGGATAGCATATGCGCAGGGGGAGGGGTATTGACGGTTGAGGTTTACCCAAGTTTGCGCGCGAAGGTGTTATTAGCGTGTGCTGTAGCGCGCCAATCGTGCCGTTGTGGCGCGCGGTGTGATGGGTTCGCGATACGAACGTGATGGCTTGAAGAGGTGGATGATGGTCACGTTGCCGGTTATGAGCGGGGTATATTGACGGTCAGTGTTTATCCAAGTTTGCGCGGGAAGTTTGCGCGAGAAGTTTGCGCGGGAAGTTTGCGCGAGAAGTTTGCGCGGGAAGGTGTTTTTGGTGCGAAGGTGTGTTTTTGGCGGGAAGGTGTGTTTTTGGCGGGAAGAAGGTGGATGATATGGAAAGGTTTGAATAAGTGGCTGACGGGGCGCAAAACTGTATTGCCGGTTGGCGCTGCCAGTTGGCGCGCAGCAGATCAGGGGAGGTTCCGTATTACTTTCAGGTTTGTTTCTAGGTGCATTTGATTGGTTGGTTCGGCGCTTAGCACGGGTGGCCATCGGTGGTTTCATTGGCTCGGCGCGCTTTGGGAGGTTTTGACCATTCGGTTTTTCTGCCTGGCTGAATAACATATGGGATCCAGTACCAGGAGGGCGCAAGCTGACGTGGCGCTCGCTTTTCTCGGCGCACAGCAGCTCTCCAAGCTTGCAGCTGTTCGAGTCAAAGTCAAAGCATCGTTCCCCGTTGACCGTTGAAGGTCTGTCAGGTCAAAGTCAAACCAAGCCTTCTTTGTTCGGAGATGTGGGTGGGAGCACTGCTTATCGATTATCCAGGCGCGTTGATGGAGACCACCTCCGTTCTCTTTTTTTTTCTTTTCTTTTTTTTCTTTTTTTTTCCCTGGCTTTTTCTTGAATTCCGGCTCTTCTCCCTTTGAGCTTCAAAAGCTATAATAAATAGTCTTTACAGTAAGTGCCTGAGCCATGTTGATTGATGGGGGCTAATTACCACAATGAGTATATATATATATATATATATATATATAGTCGGTGAAACTCCGACGAAACAGTTTGTCACAGCCCCTCGTTTGTTCTCCCTCTCTGCCCACGGTTTACCGGGCAGTTCTATTTGACGATATATATATATGCCTGCGTAATATGAGTTCTTCTATTACCTATCCCCTGCGTAGTTGCAGATCTCTGATTCTGTCTTAAGCAGGGAGGAGGGAGGAGGGAGGAGGGAGGAGAAATGAGAGGAAGAGGAGCGCGTTGGCGTATCAGTTGCTCTCCTAGTCTGAGGTGGTGATGATAAGAAGTATATATTCAGTAAAGGGGTGCTAATGCACTTGCAGGAGGGGGTTCATTTGCGGTGCTCACCGTCCTTTGTTGGTTTCATTTTATTTCATTTTGTTTTATTTAATTTTATTTTATTTCGTTTTATTTGGCGATCTTGTCTCTGTTTACGACCTTGTTGTCGAATCCGCGTGCGAGAACGCTAAATCGCCACGGATTCGCCAGAAACATTTTTAACAGTGTTAAATTTATTATCGACAAAGCCGAGGTTGATGGGTACATTGGCGTGTTGCTTGTCGCTTTGACTTTCGAAGACTGTGCTTTTATCCTCTAGTCCTTTAATCTCTCTCTCTCTCTCTCTCTCTCTCTCTCTCTCTCTTTTTTTCCCCGTCGCTATCGCAATTCCCTTCCCTCTGGTCCACAACCCGTGTTCGTTTCTCTCTGCTATATTCTTGCTCTCTCTCTCTCTCTCTCTCTCTCTCTCTCTCTCTCTCTCTCTCTCTCTCTCTCTCTCTCTCTCTCTCT